GGCACGCGGCGCATCCGATGGTGCGGCGACGAAGTCGCTATTTCTGTCGGGGCGACCCTAAAACTAATGTAGAAACCAAAACGGCGCTGATTTCGCGGCCCGTGGATCTGCAACAGTGGGACGCAAACAAATTGTACGCCTTGTCGGCACGCCGCGCATGCGCTGGTGTGTCGTCGAAGTCGCGTTTCGGGCTTTGGCGTCCCTAAAACTAATGTACATCCAAAAAATTGAGCTCGAGTCGCGCCCTACGATCTACCCTAAGCTGGACGAGCACCCGTCTTACATGCGGTACGAGGCAAAGAATGCATGGCGAGGCGTCGTTTCCTTAAAAAAAAAACCGCCGAACTCGGGTAAACCGGGCGGTTCCAGCGAGTTAGCGGGTTCCAGGGAGGCGCCATGGCGGGGTACTTATAAACCAGCTCTACGAGAATAATGTGCACTTCGAGTGAGGAGGGAAATGGAGGGGTTGGAGGGGAACGGCCGCATGATGCGGGCACCGATAAAAAGTGCGCAAAAAGGTTCTCAACCGCGTCCCACACCCTTCGCCCCTAACTGCCACGGCGACAAAGCAAAAAGTTACGTGCCGTATTCGCACGTAACAGGGTGTGCGACTCCGTCAACATTCTGGTCCAGCTGGATTTTTCGCGCGCTGAAAATGAGCCGCCCGAACGGCTCATTTACCTGGTTACCGCTACGGTCATTCGCCAACGGTAAGTGTTCTGGTAACCGGAGGCGTACGCGTCTACATTTCTTCATGGGAATGAGACAATGTGATTCCCAAAACTTACAAAAGATTCGCATACATTGACGTGTTCATTTTCAGTCTTCACCATTTTTTTTACAATTATTAAACTGTGACTTTTTTCGAATTTAATTTAAACACTCCACTCATTTAAGTGCGGAAAAAAAGTTGGCGACACCCACTTAATGCTGCAGTAATGTAATGAAAACAAACACTATAGTGTACAGGAAATAAATATTAGTTCAGCGCGGAGTTCTATACACCACCGCACCGAATTTCACCGAGCGGTGTTCATCGACCCAACGGGATGAGTTTTGCACCGATTGCCCGCTAACTGCTCCGTGACTGCACGAATCGAAATTAGGGTAACTGCGGGAGATCGCAGGCAGCTCGGAAACAGAGGGCAATTAGAAAAAAACACCGCAAGCAAACTGCAGGGATGCGATATCGCCAAGCTTACCGCCGGCTGTTTCCCCGCGAACACCTGCAGAGTTGCGATGATGATAGGGTGTGTGTGTTGTGGGAGGGGGAAGGGAGGTGAGTTCAGAGGGGGGGGGGATGTGTTGAGATAAGGGAAACGGATGTGATGTGAGAGGGGGAAAAAATGTTCTTAGGGAGGGGGAAGAGAGGAGAGGTCAGACGGTGAAGGTAGGTGAGGGGAGTTGGAAAGGTGTGTGAGTTCGGAGGAGGAAGAGAGGTTCTTAGATAGGGGGGATGGAGGTGCTAGCAGGGGGGAAATAAGTGATGTGAGATGGGGAAGAGAGGTGCTTAGGGAGTGGAAAGGGAGGTGAGGTCAGAGGTGGTTGGGAGGTGAGATGAGAGGGGGAAGGGAGGTGCTGTGATAAGGGGGAGGTAGGTGAGCAGGGAGGGGGAAAAATGCCTTTTGCTCCCCATGAATGCCCTTTTGCTCCCCAAGAATGCCTTTTGCTCCCCAAATTTACCCCTTTTGCTCCCCATGAATGCCCTTTTGCTCCCCAAGAATGCCTTTTGCTCCCCAAATTTTCCCCTTTTGCTCCCCATGAATGCCCCCAGTGCTTTCCATACTTTCCCCTTCTGCTCCCCATCAGTTCCCCCTCTCCTTCCCCTCTCCTCGCTGCTCCGTTCCTCTCCTCGCTGCTCCGTTCCTCTCCTCGCTGCTCCGTTCCTCTCCTCGCTGCTCCGTTCCTTTCCTCGCTGCTCCGTTCCTTTCCTCACTGCTCCGTCCGTTCCTTTCCTCGCTGCTCCGTTCCTCTCCTCGCTGCTCCGTTCCTCTCCTCGCTGCTTCGTTCCTCTCCTCGCTGCTCCGTTCCTCTCCTCGCTGCTCCGTTCCTCTCCTCGCTGCTCCGTTCCTCTCCTCGCTGCTCCGTTCCTTTCCTCGCTGCTCCGTTCCTTTCCTCGCTGCTCCGTTCCTCTCCTCGCTGCTCCGTTCCTCTCCTCGCTGCTCCGTTCCTCTCCTCGCTGCTTCGTTCCTCTCCTCGCTGCTCCGTTCCTCTCCTCGCTGCTCCGTTCCTCTCCTCGCTGCTCCGTTCCTCTCCTCACTGCTCGGTTCCTCGCTCACCTCCTAGCACGCGCCAATCCCACCCGTTCCGCAGTCACTGTCGTCCCGCATTCTCACCCGTTGCTCTCGCACCCTCCTCACGCGAGAACGATGCCACCGCGCTTTCTCGCTCCCTCAATCAATCCCGGCCCTCTCTCACTTCCGTCCTTCTCTCACACCCGTCCCTCTCTCATACCCGTCCCTCTCTCACACCCATCCCTCTCTCACACCCGTCCCTCTCTCACACCCTTCTCCCTCCCTCCGTTTCCCCTTCTCCTTCCCTCCGTTTTCCCCCTTGTTCTGGCCCTCTGTGGGCGGCAGCAGCAGCCTTCAAGGAAGTGGTGGCATACCACACACCTCCGACACAGAAGCAGCAGTGGGCGCCAACAGGGGGGATTGCCATAGTCAATGCTGTAGTTGTCACCCTTCTCACTCACACACCCTGCTCACTCACACACCCTGCTCACTCACCCACCCTGCAGTGCTGGGGAAAGCAGTGCAGGTGAGTGCTGTGCTGGTGAGTGAAGTGCTGGTGAGTGAAGTGCTGGTGAGTGAAGTGCTGGTGAGTGAAGTGCTGGTGAGTGCAGTGCTGGTGAGTGAAGTGCTGGTGAGTGCAGTGCTGGTGAGTGAAGTGCTGGTGAGTGCACTGCTGGTGAGTGCAGTGCTGGTGAGTGAAGTGCTGGTGAGTGAAGTGCTGGTGAGTGCAGTGCTGGTGAGTGCAGTGCTGGTGAGTGCAGTGCTGGTGAGTGCTGGTGAGTGCAGTGCTGGTGAGTGCAGTGCTGGTGAGTGCTGTGCTGGTGAGTGCAGTGCTGGTGAGTGCAGTGCTGGTGAGTGCTGTGCTGGTGAGTGCAGTGCTGGTGAGTGCAGTGCTGGTGAGTGCAGTGCTGGTGAGTGCAGTGCTGGTGAGTGAAGTGCTGGTGAGTGAAGTGCTGGTGAGTGCAGTGCTGGTGAGTGCAGTGCTGGTGAGTGAAGTGCTGGTGAGTGAAGTGCTGGTGAGTGCAGTGCTGGTGAGTGCAGTGCTGGTGAGTGCTGTGCTGGTGAGTGCAGTGCTGGTGAGTGCAGTGCTGGTGAGTGCTGTGCTGGTGAGTGCAGTGCTGGTGAGTGCAGTGCTGGTGAGTGCAGTGCTGGTGAGTGAAGTGCTGGTGAGTGAAGTGCTGGTGAGTGCAGTGCTGGTGAGTGCAGTGCTGGTGAGTGAAGTGCTGGTGAGTGCTGTGCTGGTGAGTGCTGTGCTGGTGAGTGCTGTGCTGGTGAGTGAAGTGCTGGTGAGTGAAGTTCTGGTGAGTGCTGTGCTGGTGAGTGCTGTGCTGGTGAGTGCTGTGCTGGTGAGTGCTGTGCTGGTGAGTGCAGTGCTGGTGAGTGCAGTGCTGGTGAGTGCAGTGCTGGTGAGTGCAGTGCTGGTGAGTGCAGTGCTGGTGAGTGCAGTGCTGGTGAGTGCAGTGCTGGTGAGTGCAGTGCTGGTGAGTGCAGTGCTGGTGAGTGCAGTGCTGGTGAGTGCAGTGCTGGTGAGTGCAGTGCTGGTGAGTGCAGTGCTGGTGAGTGCAGTGCTGGTGAGTGCAGTGCTGGTGAGTGCAGTGCTGGTGAGTGCAGTGCTGGTGAGTGCTGTGCTGGTGAGTGCTGTGCTGGTGAGTGCTGTGCTGGTGAGTGAAGTGCTGGTGAGTGAAGTTCTGGTGAGTGCAGTGCTGGTGAGTGCAGTGCTGGTGAGTGCAGTGCTGGTGAGTGCAGTGCTGGTGAGTGCAGTGCTGGTGAGTGCAGTGCTGGTGAGTGCAGTGCTGGTGAGTGCAGTGCTGGTGAGTGCAGTGCTGGTGAGTGCAGTGCTGGTGAGTGCAGTGCTGGTGAGTGCAGTGCTGGTGAGTGCAGTGCTGGTGAGTGCTGTCCTGTTCTTCTCCCCCGCCGTTCCTCCCTTCATCAGTTCCTCCCACTTTTCCACCCTTCCTCTTTTCATCCCTTCTTCTGTTCCTCTTCAACTGTATGCATAAATCGAGGGACCTTGCGTTATCATTTCCCGTGTTGGCTGCTTGTCCTTCTCATTATCTTGTATACATCCCTGCTGCACAGCCATGTCACGTCTTATTTCCTGGTTTGTGTTTGTATACAGGTCTGCTATGCATCTGGTTGTGGTGATGTGTTGACTGTTTGAGAGTACTACAATGATTGGCCATGCCGTATATTGATGTTGGATGCTTTGTTATAATACAAACACTTTGCTCAGAAGCAGCCATGCACATGACCACTACAAAGGAAGTACTTGGCAACTGACTATTGTCACCAAGAAGACAGCTAGAAATGTAATGTTTTTGGGCCACTCTTGGCTGCTACACTGCATGCAATAAACCCTGGGCCATGGTGCTGGGACCTGTACCCTGCGCGGCTGGAAATGGGGGTGAGTGAAAGGGGGAACAGACTGAGTAGCGGAAAATAGAGTGAACAGGAAGAAACAAAGCGAGCCGGGGGGAAGTGAATGAGCAGGGGAAACAGAGTGAGCCGGGGGGAAGAGAATGAGCAGGGGAAACAGAGTGAGCCGGGGGAAAGAGAATGAGCAGGCCAAACAGAGTGAGCCGGGGGGAAGAGAATGAGCAGGGGAAACAGAGTGAGCCGGGGGAAAGAGAATGAGCAGGCCAAACAGAGTGAGCCGGGGGAAAGAGAATGAGCAGGCCAAACAGAGTGAGCCGAGGGGAAGAGAATGAGCAGGGGAAACAGAGTCAGCCAGAGAGATCAAGGTGTGTGAGGGAGAGTGGTGAGGAGCTAACGTACCGTGTGGGGAAGGGAGTGGGCGAGGTGTAACAGAAGGGCGTCAGGGACAGCAGCAGTAGAGGGGTCGAGGTGAGGTGAGTGAGGAAGGCGAGGAGGAGAGGAGGGAAGAGGGAGGAGGGAGGAGCGATTGAGGCACCAGAGAGAACCAGATGAGTGAGGGGGAAGGAGGAAGAGGAGGAGGAGTGAGAGGTGGAAGGATTGGAGGCGGAGGGAGAGGATGAGGAGGAGGGGAGAGGGAAGCCAATGGAAAGCAGGGGGCAGTGGGAGAGGTGGAGGGCGGTGAGGGAGGGGTGGGCGGGGAGGTGGGAGAGGGCAGTCCAGGCGAGGTTGGCGGAGAGCAGGCGGGGGAAGGCGAGGAGCAGCGAGGCAGAGGCGCTGGTGATGCTGCTGCCCCACACTGACAGATGGCGCAAGTGAACGAGCAACTGCAGGGGAAGGGGGAGAGGCGGGGGTGGAAAGAGGATGGTGGGAGTGGGGGAAAAGGGAGCAGCGGCGCAGAGGCGTTGGTGATGCTGCTGCCCCACACTGACAGATGGCGCAAGTGAACGAGCGACTGCAGGCGAAGGGGGAGAGGCGGGGGTGGAAAGAGGATGGTGGGAGTGGGGGAAATGGGAGCAGCGGCGCAGAGGCGTTGGTGATGCTGCTGCCCCACACTGACAGATGGCGCAAGTGAACCAGCGACTGCAGGGGAAGAGTGGGTGGGGGTTTGGGGGGGAGAGGGGGAAGAGGAAGGCAAGGAGGTGAGAGGAGGAGGCGTTGGTGATGCTGCTGCCCCACGCTGACAGATGGCGCAAGTGGACTAGCGATGGGCGGGGGAAGCGAGGGCGACGGGAGGGGGAAGCAAGGGCGACGGGAGGGGGAATCAAGGGCGATGGGAGGGGGAAGCGAGGGCGATGGGAGGGGGAAGCGAGGGCGATGGGAGGGGGAAGCGAGGGCGATGGGAGGGGGAAGAGAGGGCGACGGGAGGGGGAAGTGATGGCGATGGGAGGAGGTAGCGAGGGCAAAGGGACGGGAGAGGAGGCCGCGCGGAGAGGCGAGAGGAGGCCGCGCGGGGAGGCGAGAGGAGGCCGCGCGGAGAGGCGAGAGGAGACCGCGCGGAGAGGCGAGAGGAGGCCGCGCGGAGTGGCGAGAGGAGGCGAGAGGAGGCCGCGCGGAGAGGCGAGAGGAGGCCGCGCGGGGAGGCGAGAGGAGACGGCGCGGGGAGGCGAGAGGAGGCCGCGCGGAGAGGTGAGAGGAGGCCGCGCGGAGAGGCGAGAGGAGGCCGCGCGGAGAGGCGAGAGGAGGCCGCGCGGAGAGGCGAGAGGAGGCCGCGCGGAGAGGCGAGAGGAGGCTGCGCGGAAAGGCGAGAGGATGCGGGAAGGGGATATCGGGCGGCAGGAAGGGGAGATCGGGCCGCGGGAAGGGGAGATCGGGCGGCGAGCACGGGAGATTGGGCGGCGAACAGGGGAGACGGGTGGCGGGAAGCGGCGATAGGGTGGCGGGAATGTGACGGCTATAACCTAATCACGGGCATACGCAAGAGGGTGCGCTACTGCTGCTCCCCACAGTTACATGTTTTACTTTCTTCACGCCTTTGGACAGAAGATTGCTTACTAATGCAGTGGTATTGTTATGACTACGTGTAAGGATGTACAGCCGGAGTGCGTGTGTTGGCACTTCGTTTTTCCCTGCCACTTCTCTCCCTTGCACAATCGGTGTTTCCGTCGTCAGGGTTGGTCGCACAAAGTACAGTACACTCACGCCAAACCTGTCCTACAAGGTGCGGACGCGATCCAAACCTGCCCCTGAGGTGTGGTTTTGGCCTCAGTTCTTCACAACTTCGCCCATATATTTCCTCCGCTCGTAAAAATTTTCGTCACTCGTGAACCAATCATGTTCGTAGTTTCCCAACGTTTGTAAATATGAGACGCGAGCTTTGAGGTGTACGGGCAGCACCGCTTTTGTACTCACCTGTATGGGCTGTACAGCCGAGGCAATCAGGCTCGGAAGCAGCGAGTCAGGTTTTGGTTGGCGGTAGGGGTGTGGTTGGGTGGGCTCGTTGGTTCACCGCCTTTCCCTGCCAGCTCAGGCTGCTCTCAGCCCAGTCTTGTGTGTTGGGTGGGGTGTTCATCCAACGCTCCTTCCACCTCGACCTCACATCCACGAACAATCGTGTGCAAACGCACAAACTTGGCACGGGCTTTGCAAAGCTGAAGGTGACACCCGCTGTGCGTAGAGGCCAGATCGGTTTTCCCATCACGCGTTCATGGCGATGCGTTGTCCGAGGCGCGAGGCGCCTCGTGACCCCACTTGTACTTGGCAGAGGGACCTGGAAGCACCATGCAATGGCGGCCGTGCCGCGGAGGCCGTCGCGGTGGATCTAAGGGCTGATGCGACGACCTGCTGGACTGAGTCGAGCGGAGAGAGCGCGAGGTAAAAGAGCCTTTTAGGGCTGCGCCTTGCTTCCTCTCGTCGGCCCACTGCACGAGCCTCAGCAGGCAGTACAGCCGAGGTCGAGCCGAGGGGCGTGGGGATCGGAGCCCAGCAGCGGGTTCAGCCGCGCCCGCCCGGCACACGGCGAGTGGGTCGGGCAGCGGGCAGCAGTGGGCGGCAGCGGGCGGTAGTGGGGGCAGCGGCAGACGCGGCGGTATGATCCCTGACGTGAAGCTGCGGAGCTGGCTGTCGCGCAAGGACCGGAAGGACGGTGCGGAGGACTCTCCGCGGGGCAGCGCCAGAGAGCCGTCGGGGAAAGGCAGAGAGAAGCAGGGCGGGGGGACGGGACTCGACAGACTGGGCGCAGGTGGTGCGGATGGCGCACGCGGTAAGTCTGGCGCGGCGGCGGGCGGGCAAGCGGTGCTTTCAGCGGAGGGCGACGTGCCGCGCTCCGCCTCGTCCGACTCCTCTTATGCACGCGCCCCGCGCGCCGACATTGCGCGCGATATGCAGCCCGGGGGCGCGATGAGCCCCACGGACGAGGAGCTGGATCGCGCCATGGCGGAGATGGGCTGCGCGGGCGGGGGGCTAGGGGCGGCGGGGGGGGCGAGTTCCGCGCAAGCGGGATCGCCAAGCGGGGCGGTGACTCCGCGGTCGCGGCGGGAGATATGGAAGTGGCGGAGGAGTCGCACGACGGCTCTGCCAGTGGGCGGCACGGTGGGCCGGGGGAACGCAGCGGCGCTGCGCGGGTGGCTGGATCGCGAGAGCTCTTTCGCGAGCTCCACGGGCGGAGAGTCCGCCAGCGGGGTCTCCGCCGTGGGCTCTGAGGGCACCGCGGGGGGCGGAGGGGCAGGAGGGGGTAAGCGGGAGGCGGAAGACGGCGGAGGGGAGCAGAACGGGGGAGGGGATGCGGGTGCTAGGGGCGGGGCGGCAGGGAGCGGTTGGAAGCGGTGGCGGCTGTCGCGGCAGCTGGGGTTCGCGGCGGAGGACGTGCGGGTGATGCGCGAGTTCCTGGCGCATCGCGACGCGTGGGTGGCGCTGGAGGCGAGCCCGTCCACGCGCTTCTACGTCTTCGACTACATGCAGACCGTCCGCTCTGGCGCTTACCCGCACGTGCTCGCGGTGAGCCCTCAGCGCGCATGCATGCCTGTGGTCCTCGATTCCTCAACGCTTCGCCGTCACACACCCTGTTCCCTTCTTGCTAAAAACACCACTGCCCCCTCCCCCACCCCTCCCGTCTCTTCCGCCAAACCCCTCCCTTTTTCTTCGCCCCTCTCCCCACGCTCCGCTCCGCTCCGCTTTCTGTCGCTGCCTCTTGTTCGTTCTCCCCCGCTGCCCTGTGCGAACTTCTTTGTCGAGCTGCTCTCACCCCATTCTTCCAACCCCGCGCACCCCACACCCTCCTCCCTTTCTCATCCTCACCCCCCGCTCCCCCTGCGCTATCCCCCTGGGCGGGCGCAGGCGTTCCGCGCAGTGGTGCGCGCGCACGGGCTGTCGGAGGCGGATCTGAAGAGCCAGAAGCGCGAGACGCTGCAGCTGCTGGCGCTGCTGTTCTCGCAGCACGACGGGCTGTGGCGCCTGCGCCGCCAGCAGCTGCTCGAGCTCATCGTCTCCGCGCCCTCCTGGCTCGCGCCCGCCGACGGGGAGGCGCACGCGGACGAGTGGGCGGAAGGGGAGGAGGGCGGAGAGGAGGGAGTGGCGGGGCGTGGCGCGGGAGGGGACGCGGTGGGGCGGGAAGAGGGGCGGGCCGCCGTGGAGGAGGGGCAGGGGAACGGCATGGCGGGGGAGGGCGGGGGCGGGAAGGAGGGTGGGGAGCGCGATGCTGGGCTCGGGGATGGGTCCCCAAGTGCAGTGAGCGTGGCAGCAGGTTCAGGTGCCGCACAAAGGGCGCATGAGCAAGGGGCTGCGGCGGAGAAGCAGGAGGGCGGTACAGGGGGCGCAGGGGACGCGGGCAGGGAGAAGGAAGGGGAAAAAGGGATGGATGGGAGGCAAGCGGAGGGGGTGCGCGAGGGGGAGAAGGCAGTGGGGTCATTGGAAGCGGGGCATGGTGTGGCGGCGCGTGTGGGCGGCAGTGAGGGCGCAGGCATGCAGGGGAGTGACGCCACGGACGGGGCAGTGGCAGCAGCAGGAGAGGCGCGGGTGGGGGGTGGGGGGGAGGGCGCAGAGGCGAATGCGGGGCGGAGGGAGAGATTGCGAGGTCCAGGGGAGGGCATGGGGTCAGGGACGGGCGGTCGGGGCAGAGGTGCCGCGCCCATGCCATGGCCTGCCCCTCCTGCTCTGAGAGCCAGAGCAGAGGCGGGCGGGGATGAGGCCACAGCGCCACAGCCCACCGGTGGTGCTGCTGCTGCGGCCAGTGACGTTGGCAGCGGGGCAGTGGCCAGGAGCAGCAGCAGTGGCAGCGGTGGTGGTGGTGGCGGGGGGAGCAGCGGCAGCGGAGTGGGGAGTGGGTGGGCGGCGTCGGAGATGTACCGGCGCATGAGCAGCAGCTTCCTGCAGCGCGACAAGGAGCTGCTCTCCGCCTTCCTGCAGCGCGCCGCGCACTGGGACTCGCTGGCGCCGCGCACGCCCATGCACGCGCGCTTCCTGGCCACGGTGGAGGGGCTGCGCGCCGGTGAGCGCGGCGAGCTGGCGGGCATGCGCGGCATCGTGATGGCGCAGCGCGACGCTGTGGACGCCACCGACGTGCTCCGCCTCAACACCGGCGCGCTGCAGGTGCTGCTCCAGGCGGACGAGCGCGAGGGGGGGGGAGGAGGAGAGGGAGAAGTAAGGGGGAGTGGTGCAGGGAAGGGCTGGTGATAGGGCGTGTGGGGTGGTGGGCGTGGGAGGACGTGCATGTTAGGCAGCGTGGTGGTGGGATCTGCTGGAGATGAGCAGTAAGGGTGTGACAGTGACCCGTGGGTGACAAGTTGGCTGTGTGTCTGTGTTGCTTGACTCCGCTCATCACCGCCACTGCCCTCTACACCATGCTGCTTCTCATGCCGCCCACCTGTTTCCCTTTCTCCATGCCTCTCCCCACCCCATTCCCTCCCCTTCCCGTTGCCCCCCCTCCCGCACGCATCCCCGGGCAACCGCACCAGGTGCTAGCGGGCGTGCTGTCAGACACGCCCGTGCACGCCAGCACTCCACGCGACGACCTCATCGCCATCTGCCTCTCCCACGGCCCCTGGCTGCCGCCCACTCCCGCCACGCCCGCCACGCCCGCCACTCCCGGCAGCACCCGCTCGCGTCGCTCGCGCAGCAGGGGGTTCTCCCGTGGGTTGGGCGAGGTGTGGGACGAGGGCGCGGCACGACGCGCGGATGCGGCGGACGATGGGGCTGTTGGCAGTGGCAGCGCACGAATGGAGGGGGAGAGCGGGCGGGATAGGGGGGGGAGAAAGGGCAGAGGCGACAGAGAAGGGGAGGTGGGAGAAGGGGAGAACGGAGCGGGGGGGGGGGAGGAGGAAGGAGGTGGGGTGGGGCGTGGCGAGGAGGGGAGGAGCAGCAGGGGCAGCAGCAAGGAGTCGTTCGCGTATGGGGGCACGTGGGGTGGCAGCCGCAGCAAGGGCGCAGGCAAGAAGGGGACGCTGAGTGGCAAGCACAGGGCGGAGCTGGAGAAGCTAAGGCAGGAGGTGCGCATGATCGAGGAGAAGGCCAAGCTCAAAAAGCTCATGCTCCTGGCCACGCCCCCCGATCATCCCCAACCCGCTGCCGCTGCCGCCGCTGCTCCTCCTCCTGCTGCTGCTGGTGCCAGCGATGCTGGTGGCAGTGGGGGTGGCACCAGGGACAGGGATACGAGTGGCAGGAGTCTTGGCAGGAGTGCGAGTAGAGGATCCAGGTCGTTCTCTCACAGGGACCACCACACTGCTCTTGCTGCTGCTGCGCCTGCCACTGCAGCTCCACCTCCCACTGCGCCCCCTGGACCTGCACCCGAACCATCTACAGCCTCTCCAGATGCCCATTCCCTCCCAGCAGGCCATGCACATGAGCAGCATGGCGCTCCCATCACCTCCTCCCCTGAATCCGCCACCATCGCTACCCCGTCACCCCTGCTGGGGTCATCCCCCTGCGACGCCCCCAGCTTCCGATCCATGGTGTCCCCTGCTGCCCTGCCCGCCCCCCTGCACACCCACACCCACACCCACCACAGCATTCACGAGAGCCAGCAAAGTGGTGCTGGCGATGCCATTGCACTCTGCCCTACTGCCCCTGCTGCCGCCAGTGAGGGAATGCCTGATGCATCTGCTCCACCCTCCACCACCGCCACTGCACCAGTACCTTCAATCGATGCTGCTCTCACTCTCCCTGACTCCGCGGCCACTGGCGCTACCAGCAGCAGCAGCAGCAGCAGCAGCAGCAGCAGCAGCGTGGCCACAGCAGGGGGCAGTGGGCATGAGTGGAGTGGAGCGGTGGGCGCCCCCTCTCGGGGTGTGCGCGCGTGGCACAGGCAGCCCATGACGCCCAACCTGGGAGCATCCTCACGCCGCCTGCGCCCGCTGGCGTTCCTGCGGGGGGACGGCGAGCAGGGCGAGGGGGGCGAGGACGTGCAGGTGCGCAGCCCGGGGTCACAGGGCGCCATGGGGCTCGCCGGGCTGCCTGGGGACGAGGGCGAGCGGCACGGCAGGGGCCGTGGGGCGTTGAGAATGCGCGAGAGGGGGCGCAGGGAGCGCGTGGTGCTGGGGGGCGGGGAGATGGATGGGGACGGTGGCGTGGGGAAGGGTGCGGAGTGGGACGCGGGGGAGGGGGGCGAGGACGGTGGAGAGAGGAGTGCACGGAGTGACGGGGGTGTGCGGCGAGTCGAGGCGCAGTCTGGGATGGGTGTATTGGTGAACGGCGGTGGTATTGCGGAGGAAGATGAAGGGGGGGAGGAGGAAGAGAGGGGGGAGGAGGAGGAGGGGGAGGAGGTGGTGGAGGAGGGAGGAGGGGGGATGGAGAAAGGAGGGATTGAGCAGGAGGATGAAGAGGAGCAGGAAGAACATGAAGAATTGGAGGAGGGGGGAGAGGAGATAGAGGAAGGTGAGGAATTCGAGGAGGAAGAGGGAGTGGGGGAGGAAGAGGGAGTGGGGGAGGAAGTGGAGGAAGAACAGGAAGTGGGAGCGGAAGAAGGGGCAGAAGAGGGAGCGGAGGAAGAGGGGGCAGATGAAAGAGTGGAGGAGGAAGGAGAGGAGGGGGATGAGGGGACACTAGCAGCAGAGATGGATGATGCTGCCGCGCGGTTCTTTGACTCACGGGGCGACACAGGGGTGTGGCAGGGCATAGGAGCCACGGCCGCACCGGCAGCAGGGGAACTGGCGAGGCGATGGAAGAAGGGCAAAGAGCGGGCGTCCCAGCAAGCGCGCAGACGAGGGGGAGGTGTAGGGGCGGACGAGGAGCAGCAGAGGGAGGCGGAGGACGCGGAGGCGCTGCTGTGGGCAGCGGCGGCCTCAGGAGCGGGCAGGAGGAAGGGGCTGGGACGAGGCCACATGGACCCCGAGCCCAGTGCCACCCTGCTGCTGCGGCGCTTCAAGGCGCGAGAGGGCCTACCTGGTGATGGAGAGGGCGCTGGCAGTGGCACGCCCACACACACTGCAGACACCCCTGGCAGCTCCCACCATGGCCTCACGGAGGGCTCTCACTCCCATGCACATGCACCACAGCCGTCAGCATCATCCTCAGCAGTAGCAGGATCAGAAGTGCAGGCATCGTCGCACGCGGTGCACCACGCGGCATCGCCGTCCTTCTCGTCGCTGACAGTGGCCATCCCCCGAGCGCCACTGGGCTCCTCTGACCTCGCCCTGCACTCCCTCTCCCACGCCAGCCCTGCATCTCACGCCAGCCCCTACGCGCGCAGCCCCTACCACGCCAGCCCCTCGTCCCAGGCCAGCCCCTCCCACTCCAGCGCCTCCTCCTCCCAGGCCAGCCCCCCTCACGGCAAGACCCACCGCCACCACCACAACCACCACCATCACCCCCCCCACCCCCCACAGCAGCAGCAGCAACAGCAGGGTTCCCTCCACGGCCCCTCTCGGCTCTCCCCCACAGGCTACTCCGTCAGTAGTGCAGCAGGACAGGGGGGAGCGCAGCAAGGGAGCGGTGGGCCAGCAGATGGAGCGGATGAAATGGACGAGGTGAGCCGCCTGGAGCACGAGGCGCTGCTGCGCTTCTCATCGGGTGCACGGCAGCTGGAGGTGCAGGCGGACAGGGAGAGGCATGCCGTGGACGTCGCAGAGGCCCGTGTCGCCTCCGCTCTCCAGCGCCTCGAGGCTGCCCGCCGCGCCGTGGCTGAGGAGAAGGCTCGGCGCGCGGCGGCAGTGGCTCGGTGGAAGGGGGCGATGGTGGCAGTGGAGGATGGCAGCGAGCTGATGGAGGAGGCGTGTGCCGTGGTCAGGCGCAAGGCGGACGAGTGCCGCGACGCGTGGCGGCGCCATGTGGAGTCCACACAGCGGCTCACGTCGGGAGGCAGCACGCCGGGGGGCACGACGCGCAAGAAGATGAACCGCATGCGGCAGGAGGAGTTTGAGCGCGCCGCACGCACGCATGAGGAGTTCCTGCGCCTGTGGGAGGAGCTGGAGGCGCTGTGCAAGCCCAGCCTGCAGGCCGCCGTGCAGCGTCTGGCCAGTGGGTCGCTGCATGTGGATGCGGACACAGGCGAGTACAGTATGCAGGGGCCAACCAGCAAGGGCCGCAGTAGAGCCCGCGACAAGCTCAAATAATAGTGGCTCAGAGATGAGGGGGCAAGCACACTGGCAAGATCACTCCGGGTGCATCCTTAAGGGCTGAGCCTTTCCCACCCCACTGCTCTTCTCCGTTCCGCTCCCCCATAATCTCTCTCGCATGCATGCACTCTCTGGCCCTCTCCGCCTCCCTCCACCTTCTGTGATCGTATTCTTCCAATCAGGACAGTTCAAGCAGTAAGTTCAATAACTACACCCTACTTAGACACCGCCACAACGCCGAGGAGGGATGTAGCACTGCCCTGTAGATGTACGTAGGTCTAGCACTAACATAGTGATGGCACTAATTGCAGTTTCCTGCAGTGAACACATCGTGTTTGGCTGCATTCTTCTGTTTGGCTGGTGTCTCAAAGTTACGTATACCAAATGATTTTCACTAGGGAGAGATGGGTGGGTACAACTAGGCAAGTGCAGCACCCTATAGTACGACATGTCACTCATTGCAGGCTCACCCAAACAAAGAGCAAATATAATCTGACACAGACCATAGGCTAAGTTAGGGCGTGTAAAATCCCCGTGCAAGTGCGAAATTGGACATCAGAAAGAGCAAGAGAGACAAATGGTCACAAGACCAGTCACCAACAAGGGAGCAAGTGCAATGCAACTCAGGGTGGCACAACTAGTCCAGCCCCTGAGACAAATGGCTACAAGACCAGTCCAAAAGCATATATATGTAGTACCGCAACACAAACAGTGCAAAAAACAAGAGCCAAGACTACAAATAAGGACCTGTCTAAAAATGGGCAAAGATGGGAACAGAATCTGTGGTGGTCACCTGCAGCCAGGTTTTGGGGGGAGTGTGGAGCAGCAGCAGCACCAGCAGCAGCAGGTGCGACAGGTTCAGTTGTGGAGGTGGTGCAGTGCAGCGCAGCGGCAGCAGCAGCCGCCTCTGCAACAACAGCAGCAACAACAACATCAAACGGTGCAGCAGTGGGCCTCTCAGCAGCAGTTGGGCCATCGTGGTCTGGGGAGTGCGGGTCGCAATGGCGGTCCTGCCAGCTAGACGTCGAGCCCAGCTATTGCTATCGCAGGTGTGCTCTCGGAAGAAGCGTTGCTCTCCTTCACGCTTGACTCCAGTGCGTCCCAGTGCTTCTTCCGCGACCGCACCAGTTTGACGCCGCTACGAGCTCCTGTCCCTGTTGCAATGGCCGACCCCTCCTCTGGACGGATTGTTGCTAGCAGTGCTACTACGCTCCCGTGTCCTGCAGTCCTCTCGGGCTACCTTACCGGTCTGCATTTCTCCACGTTCTCTAGGAACTTGGTGGGTGTTGGTCATCTTCAAGACAAGGGTGTCACCACCACATTTCCTAGGGTTTGCAACTTGTATGGACGCTGCCACTAACGATCCCCTTGCCACGTTCACAGGGGAGTCTGTGTCGTGTCTCACACTGCGCATTGAGACTTCCCAAGTGTTAGCGTCTAGTCAGGTAGCTGCGTCCTGCTCGTTTCAGCCTCTCATACTTCAGCGACTGCGCATGGACCTCTGGGGCTCTGCCGTGGTAGCTGGGCCTTGTGGAGAGCGCTACTTTTTGGTTGTTGTGCACGCTTTCTCTTGCTACACTACGATGTCTCCTCTACAGCGGAAGGCCAACGTGCCTGACGCGCTTCTCCCGTGGATTGTAGCCGTTCGCAACTAACGAGGCCGTCCTGTGCTTGGTTTGCACTCTGGCTAGGGTGGTGAATTCACCTCAGGTCGGGTTGAGCGGGTTTGTTACGAGCAGGGCGTTGACCACTCGTTCAAGCTGCCAGACTCGCCACAACAAAATGGGATCGCTGAGCGTCACATTGGCCTGATCATGAAGATTGCTCGTACCTCCATCTGACATGCCAGTGCCTCATCCTTTCTGTAGCCCTTTGCAGCTCACTGCGCTACCCACCAGCTTAACATGTGGTCGCGTTCCTCGCAGCCGCAGGTTTCGCCGACCATCCTTTGAACTGGTTCCCCCACGTCAGCGTTGCTTTCCATTTCTAGGGCTGTCTTGCGCACATTTGCAATCGTCACGCGAATAAGCCTGCGGCTCGCACTGTCTAGTGTGTCTTCCTTGGTTTCCCTCTTGACTCTCCTGGCTGGTCGTTCTACCACCCTCCCTCTCATTGCTTTCTCAGCTCTCGTGACGTCACTGTTGACGAGTCCGCTTCCCCTGGTCGACCAGCTCCAGGTTGACGTCACTCCTGGTCGACCAGCTCCACGTCGACCAATACTCCAAGTCGACCAGCTCCTCGTCGACCAGCGCAGTTGTTAGCCGACCGCCAAGTCGGCTACCCGAAGTCCGCGTCACCAAGTTGACGCCCAGCTACTAGACGCCCAACTGCTCGGCGTCCTGAGTCGAGGTCGACGTCGGCCCCTCCTTCATCGACCACCAGGTCAGGTCGACCACCAGCAAGTCGACCAGCAGGTCTGGTCGACCAACCGCCACGTCGACCAGCGGTCCGTCAGCCGACCACCCAAGTCGGCTGCCCCCAAGTTGGCGTCACCAAGTTGACGCCCTCCGCAGGTCGACTTCCCAGGTCGACCTCCCTGAAGTCGGCGCCACCCTACCCTGAAGTCGGCGCCCACGCGGTGGTCCTCGTGCAGGTCGACCTCCTTGTCAACCAGCTTGCCCACTGCTGCAGGTCGGCTGCTCCCCTCACACCCGACCACGAAATCGGCTCCGCCCAAGCGAGGACAGGGCCAACACACAACTCCTGTTGACACTCCCCTGCCGCGTTCACGCTTGGGCCCCCAGCCCACACGGCAGTACCCCTCAGAGAATAGCTCGTAGACGTGCACCCAACACACAGCACGTCGTCCACCGCACCAGCCATGCAGGAGGGCATGGCACCTACTGCCGCACATCGTCATCTTCGTCGCCCACGTCGGCCAAGCGCACCTGGCCGATGGCGATGGAGCACCGGTTGAAGGCCGGATAGTGCAGCGCCTTCGTCAGGAAGTCGGCCGGCTGCTCAGTGGTCGGGATGTACCTCAGCGAGAACTTCCCGCGCTTCACCATGTGCTGCAGCCAGGCCTGTCGCCGCTCCATGTGCTTGAGGTTACCTGTCAACCCCATGCCCTCGGCGACTGTGATGGCCGACTTGTTATCCACCCTCAGGACAGTCAGCTTCCCGGCGTCCAGCTGCCGGAACTCTACAAGGAGGAGACGAAGTCGGCGTCCCTCCTTCCCGGCTTCAGTGGCCGCCACGTACTCCGACTCGGTCGACGACAGCGTCGCGCACTTGATGCGCTGGCTCGACCAGGACGACCTCGGCGTCCGCATCAGCAAGCTCACCGACCTCGGCGAGCAAAGGCAGCGTCGCCGGCGAGGTATCGGTCGTTGGGGTGGTCGGCGTCCGACCTGACACCGGCCCGTACTCCGACCTCCATACCTCCAGCGACATATCCTCGTAGAACACCATGTCCGACGTGGTGACCACCCGATTGGCGTCGACGTCGAGGAGCTCCCAGCCCTTGCTCTCCCCCAACACGCCAAGGTGAAGGCCCCACCTGGCCTTCGGCTTCAGCTTCCCACCACGCTGCTACTCGGGGACAAGGAATTGCGCCATGCAGCCCCACACCCGCGCCATCGACAAGTCAGGCTTCTGCCCGGTCAACAGCTGGTACAGCGTCGTCCCTGGCGGCAGCGTCGAACGTTCAATGCAGTTGCGGACCCTGATGGCCTGCCGCAGAGCAAGGTGCCACCAGTGGTGCTGCACGCCCATGTGCAGCAGCATCGTCCGCACCGACTCCACCACCGTCCTCATCTCCCTCTCCGCCATGCCGTTCTGCTACGGGGTGTGCGGGCACGTCAGGTCGTGGACGATCCCCATCCGTCCACGAAGTCGGTGAACTTCTTCCCGAGGAACTCCTCTCCTCGGTCGGAGCGAAGCATCAACACCGACTGCTTCGTCTGCCTCTCCACCAATACCAGCCACTTCTGGAACTCCAGCAGCACATCCGACTTCTTGGCGACCGGCCTCACCCATACGTAGCGGGTCTTGCGGTCCTTGAGCAGCAAGAAGTACAAGCTGCCGTCCTTGGCAGCCACGTGGAATGGCCCGCACAAGTCAATGTGGATGACGGCCAGCACGTCGTCGGCGTCAGAGCCTTGGTCGGGGAAGGTGTGCCGCGCCAGCTTCCCACTGACGCACGAGACACACGGTAAGTAGGCGCCCGTCGCCGACTTGAGGTCCAGCCCAATGGCGACCTCGTTCTTGGCTGAGCTCCTGATGGTGTCCATGCCGACATGCGCAAGCCTCACATGCATCTTGTCCGGCGTCGACTTCGTCTTCGAGACGATCACCCGAAGGGCCACAACCTCCGGCGTTGGCGACGTCGACCTCGTTGAGCGGGGACGCAGGTCGGTGCAGAGGACACGCCCGGAGTACGTTGCCCGACCGAGCACCTCTCCTGCTGCCGAGACGAGCAACATCCCGTCGCCGTCCTCCTACAGCTTCACGCCGTGCTCCTTCAGCTGGCCGGACGACAGCAGGTTTGCCCGCACACCCGGGACGTACAGCACGTCGGGGATGAGCACCTGCTTCTCGGCCTCCACTTGCAGGGCGACGGTGCCGCGGCACCTGGAAGTCCTGCAGCGCCCCATTGAAGTCGCGCACGTGCTTGATGGAGCCGCTCGGCTGCAGGTCGACAAAGACCTCCTTCGTCCCCATCAGGTGGTGGGAGCAGCCGCTGTCGAGCAGGACCACCGCCGGGTTCGCCTGCATAGCTGCCGCCACCGCCTGGAAGGCCTCTCCGGCCTCCGGTGCCAGCGAGACGGTCGGCTCCACGACGCCGACCAGCGAGCACGACGCCGTCTTGTCGTCCCGCGCCTTGCCGCCAGCAAAGGAGTCGGCGTCCTTCGCCGAGGTCGAGGTGGTCGACTTCTTCTCCTTGCGCGGCTTGTTTTCTTCACGACAAGGACGACGGCTGCCAGACCTCCCACGGCCTCCCTTTGCGTCGTCGTCGTCGGAGTCACTGCGGTCGGGGCACTCGAAGGAGAGGTGGT